TCTGTCTCAAAAAAGAAAACATCCATGAAGCTGGCTCTGTAATTAGAAATGTTGTTGATCATGTGTAATATAGAAGTAAGTGAAGTCTGTGTGGTTTGATTTTTTCTGACTATGCAAATCATGTTTTGAGTCTTTGTTTTTTGCTAGTTTCCTTTAGGACCCTGAGTTCCCACAGCAGCTGTAGATTATTGGTTCCTGGTCTTAGTAATTCACAGCCTGGTGCTTATTACATTGTAATGTAATAGTATTATAATGCTGTAATGTACAGTGTTAGCCTTGGTACTTGTTACATTGTAAGGTACAGAGTCAGCCTGGGTGCTTGTTACATTGTAACTACAGAGTCAGCCTTGGTGCTTGCTACATTATAACATACAAAGTCAGCCTTGTCAAGAGCTGTGATTTTCTTTTATCCTGGGACCCTAGTAGTCTGCTTTCATATGTAAAGGGGTATGTATGTGTATTCTGTTTTCTGGTATGGCTTAAATGATAAGATTCAGCAGAAGATGTACCTCTAAAGCAGAAAGGAAAAATTGTGATTTACTGAGAGTAATGACAGGGTTTCATTGTTCAGGTGTTCTATTTTGTCATAACTATATTTAGGTGAAAGGAAGGCTGCTGAGATCTGGTTTCCATCATTTGCTAGGCTAATTATGCTCTGCAGTAAACCGGGTCCTCTTGATGTGAGGTGGTGAGGAGGGGGCATTGGGCACATGCAGGAAATTGTAGTCAGGGTTGTCACTGCACTAGTGAATTGTATCAGGGATTCCTTTAACTTTCTCACCACCACCCCCATGAAATCTGAATCATACAGTATATCCCAGAGAATGTGGGAGTCAGAATGTGGCAGATGGAGCTTCATTGAGTGAGTGGGTCTGTGTCTTCTCCCTCGGGATGCTGGGAGGTGTTGGGACTTCTGGCCTTGTTCTCACTTGTCACGTGCTGTGTCACGCTTGCAGGGGGCCAGTCTTTCTTCAGCAGAAAGGACTCCATCCGCACCATCTACACTTCCCTGCACAATGAACTAAAGAAGGTAGCAGCTGGCCGCGGGGCCCCGGGCGGGGCCGCCCCCCACGTGGAGGAGCTCCTGTCGCACCTGGCTGAGCAGCTCTGCTTCTTCGTCCAGGCCCGGATGGAGATTGCGGACTTCTACGAGAAGATGTACACCCTCAGCTCCCAGAAGTTCATCAACGCGGAGGAGCTGGTTGGCCTCCTGGACACTGTCCTCAGGAAGTACAGCTCTAGGTCAGTGTAGGGGGAGAGGAGGGAGCAGGGAGAAATACAGCTGCAGACTGGCGGGGGAGGACAGGGCCACCTTTCCAGTTCCATGCTGGCCCAGGGTATTTCCCACATTCTAATGAGAACTATGATGGAATAACTGTGAAGGGGAAATAGCTGTGTTATACTTTGTGCATATTAATTATCATTGGGTACACAGTAGGCGCCTTCTTTCAACTTAACATCCTGTTCAGGCTGTGTGCATCTTTGGGTCTCTCTGAGGAGTGCGGTGTTTGTCTTATTCATTTGTTAGGCTGGTGAGCTATCCTCTTTGCACCTTAACATCCTGCTGGATGGATGCTTCTCTTAACAATACAAAAAGATTGAGAATGAAGTAATCCTTAAAAGTTATAGCTGGCTTGGCTCGGCGCCTGTGGCTCAAGTGGTTAAGGTGCCAGCCACATACACCTGAGCTGGCGGGTTTGAATCCAGTCGGGGCCTGCCAAACAACAGTTAGGGCTACAACTGAAAAAAAAAAAAAAAAAA